ATGTTCAATTAAGGCTTCGCTTAAACCGCTGTACTTTCAACCGTGTAAACAGTTGCTTAATAAACATGGTTATCCGACCAAAAGCAAGCAATTTGCGGACGCGTGGTTTTTGTTCGACGCTGCTCAGATTCAAAACCGTTCAGTGCTGTGCATCGCCTACGAATCCTTACTCACCTTAGCTGTTGAAAGATCACCTAAGGCATCTAACGGGGATTTTTAGCTCACGAGATCTCCAGATTCATCATGGTTGCCAGCGGCACACTTTTCCAGTTATCAAGCAGCAATCTGTCCAGACTTAGAGTCAGCAGACTTTTCCAATCAGCACCGGCCGGACTCATGAGCGTCTTTCGTTGACTACGTGCTTGGTACATCGTGGGACTGCAGAAAGCATTTGGTCGTTCCGCACCACGGTCTAGTTAGTTGCTTACTGCGATTAGTAATTCACCTGAACATCAGTGACAGAAACAGTACCGAGAGCTGTGTTTCTTACGTGAGACCAAAGGCTTGCTTTACTAGCTGCTGAACCGACACAGGGAATGAGCATAAATCCTCATCAATACCGATGAGGCTAACGAGGTAACGAAAAATTAGGAAAGCTATTTGAAAATAGTGCATTTTGGTGTCTACCCTATAGGTTTCAAACAATCGCCGCAGCTGAGTTACAATATAGAATCAAGTTGCGCATGCGAAGGAAAATAGGTAAGTCAAAACACTGAGCAAGTAGTCATCAGCTTATCGATTAAAACATGAAACAACGAAACCATACCGTTGAAAAATTCCATGAACGAAGGCAATGCGGCTGTCGTCGTTAACGGTGAATAACTTTGAGAATGATTCAATAGTATGGGCGGCTATCAGCAGTGATCGTAACTCTGCACAGAAGACCCATGATATATATATGCTGCTGCGACAAGCGACCGACCGCCTCAAAAGAAAACAGCATCACAACTGCTAGCATATTAGGCGAGGCGACAGAAACGTTTCCCTCGTCATGCTCGCAGCGTCGT